GTGATGAAAAAATGCTTGCCTATTAATATATAGATGTTTCTCTAAGCATTACCTAACTGCCCGTCCGATCATTGCGAAACTTGGGAAATGTTTATACGCCTGGGAGTTTGGGAGACTTTATGTCTTATTATCGATCTTAAAATCCCATCAGTTCCTGCCTTAGGGCTTTGAAAGTTGTAACTAATCTTGTAAGTTAAACTTTAAGGTTTTGCTATGGCGAGTTTTTGAGAATTATTCGTCATTTGGTTGTCATGGCGACAAGACTAATAGCAATCTACGTTTTAAGTTTCAATTTTACAGGCAATTAAAATATTTCAAAATATATTGTTTTGTATATCCTTAATTATATCTTACCATTGCCAAAAAGAGAAAATACGTAAAATTCTATAATCATTGGTAAAAACAGCACATCTTGGTAATCTATATCCATGCTACTGATAGCAAGTAAATATCTCAAACCTTCAAGCCATTGGTGAAAAGAACTCTTATTGTAATAGTCTTGTAGTAGTTTTAAAAAATAAATGCTCATACCACAATTCAAGGACTTGACTACTAATACATTCTAAATACATAATCCACTATCGAATATTTCCTAATGTTGAAACACAACTCATTACATATAATTCAACTTTGTAAAGAAATCCCACGGTTTTCAAACTTTTGTTTTGAGGTTTATTTTCGGCGCTCAAACGTCAATGCTTAATAAAGTAGCGGAATGCAATTAAGCATCGCCGTGTCTGGGCACAATCGTCCATCATTTGACGGTACATTCTCTTCACGCAATAATAGACCTCGGCTTCACAATAATGCACGGTACGCCAGGTCGGTCCATATAGGTTTAAATTGATTATACTTGTGCTAGAGATTTGAGGTTATGCGTTATTTCACCACATGTTAGCATGTATAATAAATTTTTCTGTTACAGACTACAAGGAATTCTATTTTAAATTAGTTTTATTTTTGTTTTGCATCAAGGTACGGACCTATAATTTGAAAAAAATTACGTAGTTTAAAGTGGATACTAAATTAATACAATTAGTAGTACTAGCAACTGCTAATTTGACCAAAGTACCAAATCGAGATTCGCATTAGTAATGTCAAACAAAGTACTTTCAAAATATAACTCAAAGTTAAACTCGATTACATAATTGTCCGGTTGGGGCATACTTAGGTTAAAATTTGACTTTTCCAAGATGTAAAAATGTGGAATCCGAGGTAATATTTTTGGTAACTTTCCTTACCTTTTTTGCTTTTTTCATTTTCCTTTTCCTGAATTTACCTTTTTTCAAGGAACATACTTTTTCAATAACAAATTAAACTATAACTCCGTACTAAGGAGTTTCCTTTCTAATAATTACCAATACATCATTTCACTATTGATGTATTTTTCAAATATAACATTTTTTTTCTCAGCAATCAATTAGGTATTAGGGCCATTTAACTTTTTTTATTCAATTATCCTTAAGTTTGAGTACAGTATGGATATTTTCCATTGCCACTTTGTTTAATCAAATAAGACCCGACAAAAGTATGTTTTAATCTGGGTGTCTGGCGTAGTACAAGAAGAAGATTGCTTCCGTCCATTTCCGGTAAATGCGGCCTCGCTTAGAAGATTGGCTTCATTAATTTTGATTGTGGTTATACTTAAATTTACATTTAAAAGTACAAAGGAAAGACGCTGTTACCATGTTAAAGTCTGTTTCTTAATAGGTAGTTTCGTTATATCGTTATAACGCATACAAGGATATAAGATGGGGAAATGGCTAGAGCGTGGACCTTCTGACGTTGTGGCACGAGTTCGAATCTTACCAATCACCGACGATTTTTAGCTGTGCAATTATGACTCGGTAGTTTAGAGCAACTGGAGACATCTCTCAGGCGGAGAGAACTTGCTCTGTAATAGAGAATCTCTCCTAGAATTCGTCTAAACTTTTATTTCACTTTTTATAAGAGGTATCTCAAAATCGAATAGTTACAATATGATCAAAAATAAATTGAAAATTATTATTCAATGCAATAACTTACATAATTATTTACAATAATTCAAATAATTATCATATTGAAACTTTAAAGTATGAGTAAAAGCTAAACATTGCTCTAAATCTTTTAGGTTAATTCAATGAGATAAATAGTAAAAAAAAACTTAAAGTAAGTTATTGGTGAAACGGATGGTTGAAAACTGACAAACTAATAGTAATAATCATTCAAACGTCTAGTCAGAGTTCTTTAGAAGATCAAGACATTAAAATAATCTATCTCTCACAGCCAACCACTACAGAGAAGTTTTCCAATTTTCTAAACTTGCATTATTCTTTGTTGATCTACTGCACTATTGTGTATTCCCTTTTTTATTTATTTTTCTCGTACCGGTACTTTGTTGTAGTCTGCTTCTGGTTTTGTCATTACAATACCATTATTACTATAATCTGCTGATCAAATTAATTATACATCCATTATTGATATGATGTACAACAACTCAACTGTACTTCGTACTTTTGGAAAATTCCTTGTTTGTAATTAGTGTAAAGGGGTGAAACATCTTTTGGTTGTCTAGTACACTTTATATGTCGTATTTGCGTGTTTGAAAGAACTTTAAATATTCGATTATTTATGTAATTATTTTCAACTTTGCAACCACACTATTCGCCATTTTGCATGCACTTTCAAATGTAATCTAAAAACAACATGTTCACCAAATCGGTTCTTAACAAAGAGTGTAGAAGGATGAAACCATCATTTCCTGGGAACCGAGAAACTATTCAGTGCGTTTCATCCGCGTTACTCGCCATCAAAATTAATGAAGCCAATCTTCTAACAGGCTTAGCAGCATTAACTGTGAACAAAAGGGAGAAATCCCCCATTTTAGTTTGACTTTAGCTGTACACGTCTCTTCCTTTCCCTCATTTTCTTGACGTTGGTAAAATAAAGTGGATGTCTACACTGGGGGACAATGTATATTGAAAATTTTAAAATATATTTCAATTATTTGATCCTAATGTAAAAAGCGTTCGAATATTTATTACTGCTTTACCTTTGTATTGTACCAATGTGTGGACAGTGAACACAGAATGCAGTATCTAATTCATTGAAGCTAGGACACGCAATATCGATAATATGTCCTAGTTTATAGTTTAGCTCCCAAACATCGATTCCAGAATATCTTTTGAAACGGGACAACGTTTGAAACAAATTTCAAGAACATTAGTTCACATTATATTTGATTGGTCATTGGTGGTTCTAGGACCATGTCAAAGGGGAGACTTGCCGAATGGTTGGGTTTAGAACCTCCCCCCCCCCGAAAGTCAGGACATTTTGGTATTTAAAGTTGTTTGGTGACTTTTAAAAGTCACCTTCAACGTCTAAAACTGTGTCCAAAAACTTACTATTTAACCTGTTAATTGTCATGAACAAGTAGATTCAAATATTGTAACTATACTATGAAAATTGCACGACAAAATGGTTATACATTTTTCCAGGGTCTAAAGAGTGGCTTTAGCCACGGCAATCCCCCCAAAGATAATTATCGTAGGTACAGGATTGTATAATTCACACTTCCGATTGGATATCGACCCAAATCGACCCTCAAGATTTCGCAAATCATAAATCACATGACTAAAAGTAAATAATGATTTATTTAACAAAATAAACCTCTTAATTTTAACATTTGATGTAATTACGAATCTTAAACGGTTTTTTATAATACTGCCATGTACCTAATTGGAACAATATTCATCGATGACTTTCAAACTATTTAATGTTCAATTATACATTTCAGCAATCTACGTTTCTTTCTGCTGTAGCTAGAATAAAATAAGGTTTATATTCTGGTTTCATAACATGAGGCTAAGCATAAACATAGCTTAAAAAAAAAAAAAAAAAAAAAAAAACACTAATCGTCATTTGAAAATGATAACGTTTGGACTCATTGAGGCAGTTTTATAAAAACACAAATGATATGTTAAGCTTATTCGGAACTAAATATAATCATGCAAAGTTTATAGACAGTTAAGAACGGCTTTAGAATAAGAATAAGCATTGGAGAGTCAAGAATAAGACTCAATTACGGAGAAATGAAATATTCTATGACGAAGTGGCGCCTCCACCGACATTGGTAATGGCATTCTTCAACTATTACAAATAATTATACTCACTGCGAATTTAAATGATTCAGTGACTTTTAGAATTCTATTTGAAAATTGGCAAATTGTCATAAACATTTCAAGGGAGTGAATGTTTTTCCAACGTAAAAATCGATTTAAACCTTAATATGTTAAAATGTTGTTTTAAGTTTTAGTTTAATATATGTCTATGTTGCATATAAAATCAATTGTCTTTTTATGGGTCTTAAATTTTCATCGACTTCCATTTCAAATAAAAAATGAAACACACTTTTTAATATTTTTGTGAAAGATTAATCATTTGGCTCACCTTTCAACAGGACGTAAGCTATCTCATCAAATTTGTTAGCAGGGAGTCTTATCCATATATATTTTATGTATCCTCAAACCAAATTTGCTCCAGGTGTTACAGCGGGCGGATGAAATGTTTATTTAATGCTTAAGTAAAAAAGTTTTGATTTATGGTCAAATCTGTAACTGCCCACATTAACACTTGATACAATTTAACAGTTGAAATTCCTCAGAAACAAATAGTTTTACAAACAGTATTATAATGAGTGTTTGCTGTTTTATACTATGGGAAATAAATCCATTTATTCATTTATTTATGCTGAGTCAATGAGTTCTTTCTTAAATTAACTGTTTTCAATGATAGAAATAGCAAAAAGACACTTCTGTTGTAGTATTTCCTACAAGTAATACAATATATAGTTTTAAAATACCTAACAAGTATTTCCTAATGTTAGTGGGCAAAATAATTCAATTTAACACCCATGAGGTAAATTTAAACTAGTTAAATTAAATAAGTGTCAATGACAAAACTAGTTCAATACTAAACATAGTCGATTCAGGCCATTAACTACAGCATAGATAAGGTTATGGCAGATTGTTAGTCAGCATCAAACCTTTCTAGAGAATTTAATGAGAGTTTATTTGACTACTAAGCAGTTTCTTAGATAATGCTCGAGTTCAGGTATTGTAACTGATTTCAGGTAAACTTAATTTACTTTATTTCTAAAATTATAATGTATGATTAACTTATTAATTTTTTTATTATTATTGTTTGCAAAAATATGGCTTTGAAATGAATAATATGTGTTCCAAATCCGAAGGAGTTTAATAAGGTAAAACAAACAAGCTCTCACTTATTTTTATTCACAAGTTATTAGTATATTAATGAGAAATTCTAAATACAGTGTAAACCAAGAAAGATTTCACACGATTTGTTTTCGTCAGTGAATATTTCAAAGTATTTCCCCGTTATTTGTAGACTCATTCATATCCGAAGAAAACAATATGCTGCTGGCAATACTTATAGCTAAGAAAAGAAAAAATCCACTTAATTTTTTTCCACTAAACACAATAATAGTTTGGGACTGAGAACATTAAAACGTCATCGTTGCTTAAATGCTCTTGGTCCATGGGAGCATGACTGTGCCGGTGTGACCTGTATTATTTAATTATTTACCGTTCTATACATGTTTACTGTAAAAGAGAAAGTGTTATAAAAAGCGCTATAACCTACAAATTCTATTGTTAAAATTGTATCAATATGTAACTTTTTGAACATTGATTTTGATTTTGATTTTAACAGAATGTCATGCAGCTGATGTTTCTTCTCTTGTTTCTCCTGGTAAGGACAAAAGCAGATTTCAACAGACAAAAGGTAAAAGATAATGTCCAAAATGTAAAAATAAATAGAAGAATGAATTTAGTTTTAAAATAATCCATACTCTTCACTGATTTTGAGCGAAACCAATCGTATAAGATGCTAAGTCACTTTACGAGACTTAAGGGACTTAAAAACACAATGTCAAACACGAATTGATGATAATGCATTTGTTCAATAGGTAATTGTAAATTATCTATTGCATGCACCCCACGTTTTTAGTTTTAATCATACAAGTATTTATACTCTCCACATATTTATAAATTATTTTCTACTTTTAGTGCGTTTAAAAACGTTTTGTTTAAAAGTTTATAAGTTGTTTATTATTTATAAGTTGTTATGAACTAGATTACATCGTATTGTATTCAAACTAGACCTAAATACCAGACTGAACATTTTAAGGCGAATATGGGCCTAAGGACAAGGTCGAACGAATGAAATAATTAAATACTTATAGCTTTGATACTGTAAAAAATCAGATGGCTCTTCAGTCAGGGCTGATTATTTAAATACCAATAATTAAGGAAAGCTTGATTTAGTTTTGAACCACCACAGCTTTGTACCAAAGAAAGCACTAAAGTAAGTAAAGTAAACACACCTGTTGCCAAAGAAAGTCAATAAGGTATACCCACATAATCTCAAGACCCTAATTAGTATAATACAAATATACTTGAATCTGAACACACTTAACATATTTACAGAAGATAAGCCAACTGCAGCAAGAGCTGACATATGAGCTAAAATCCAACGTCCTTATCGAGCTCAACAAGCTGAGAGAATCCGGAAAAACCTTTCCAAGAAGTGTAGCGTTTGGATTGCTATCAAAAATAGCAATAATGGAAGCTGCGAAGATGAAAAAGAAAATTGTTAGGCTGGCTGACCTTTTGGACCCGAAGGATATAAAGGATGTGAGGAATATCGCTTTTGAACTGGAGGGAGCCGAGGTGAAGAGGGCTTTCAATGCCATCATCAGAAAAGAAGAAGAAGGAGGGATTGCAGCTAGGGCGCTGACGACGTTGGGCGTTGACGTTGTGTCAAGAAGAACTCAGAATTTCATTTACAACATGTTGAGTGATTTTTATGCACCATAAAAACTGGAAGTGTACACTAAAAACCTATAAGTGACTCTTAGTGAAGAAATGTTCAAAGCCAATTAAATATAAAAACTCAAATTACTGTCAGCAACGATGATAGAAACGCATAAAAGTATTTATTTGTGGGGAGGGGTTGAATTGATGTAAATAAAAATAGCTGTAAATGATGTTGTTTTATGTTTATTTCCCTGTACTGTTTTTTACATGCTTTATAATTTCACAAAATTTGCCTCGATTGTTTTTCATTTTTGACCTTGATTGTTTTCATTCTCAATAATTCGTCATGTAGAAACTATAGTGGCTTAACTCAAAGTTTCTCTTCGAGCCAGATCCCGTGGGTTTGAGACCACCACCTGAACATATATAACTGCAAGTGACCAATGGCATTGGCTTACCCATGTGACTTCTAAAACGACACATCACTATCTAGATCACCTAACATATAATCTATGACAGTCTTTGTTAAACAAATATTATGCAGTTAGTGCCCTGTGATATAAAAAGATGAGTGGGTTGGTTACGTATTGATGTAAAACAGTACTGAAAGAACAATTTGCCCCTCAGAGTGCGTAAACGCATAGCAATTTTGTACCACTAGAATTTGATGGTGGAGTTCAAATTTCTTATGAGGCTATGGTAATATCTGGAAGAAATATCCACAACAAAAAGATTCAATATTTATCACTACACGTTTCACCATTCCTTAAAGGTTTGTAACATGTATGCAACGTATGGTTTGTAAGAAATATCACCTTTTAGTTGTTCTCCAGACTCAAACATTTTATTAATGTTGACGATGTAAAAAGTCTTTATCTAAGGTAGTTAAAAAGTGTTGATGACTTAACGCCTTCACCAACAACAATGAAATGATTCAGTAAGTGATATGTACCATTTTATAGGCTTACTTGTCAAAGATTGAACCCTAGATACAATGCACTAGGAATGTGACACATTCGCATTGAAAGAAAATAATTAATTCGTATGCCACACCATTAAACACATTAGACATAAAATAAAATAGCCTTTAACCTGGTTGCTAAGCAACCAAATATAACGATAAAATCTTTCTTCATGCAAAAGTGTTAAATTACAACTGAGTATTAAAGTGAATTTAATAAGTAGTTATTTTACAAATTTACAATCAAATTATAACATGCCAATTTTAGCGGGTGCGTTTGATTTCGCACTCTCGATTGCAAGTCATGTGGGTCATGCGATTATTAGAGATATGACATCATTCTATTCTTACCCGCAAGATGCTGAGGTTCACAAGTTAAAAGAGTAAGTATATAGTACTTAAGCAGAAGAAGTAGAAAACATGAGCATTTTTGTGCGTAAAATAAATATTTTTCACTATTTTAGCTATGATTAGTTTAGGCTTAGTTAATCCTTTCATTTGTTCTAGATACAGGACGTATGATGAAGGTGACAACAAGGCAATGAATGATGAATGCCCAACTGAAAACGCATGTCTATCAGTGAATATCAATGATGAAGTACAAAGCAATGAAGACAACACCAAAGTTGGGATCTGTGAAGATGATTCATGGTTTTTGGAAACAGATACTGACTCAGACGAGTTCAAACCTGTTGAAGCTGTTGATATTCAAAAAGAAGTCGAAACATCGCATCATGATAATAATTTAAACGACATTGAAAAAGAAATCAATCAAAATAGTTTCGAGGAAGAAGATTTAAACCACGACGTAACTAACAACATTGTTGTAGAAGATACTTCATTCAGTTATGAATGTGGGTCGCAAAGTATGTTCAATGAACAAACAATGCAAGTGAACATAACTTCAGAATTGCAGGATAACTCAAGATTCAAACTGGGGAAAGATATAAACGAAAGCGTGGAAACAGACAATACAGTTCAGTCTGATGGAAGAGGTGATGATCATTCAGACGCAGGCGTGAAAGAAGTTTACCGATTGGACTACTTGGATTGTACGGATGAAAAGCATGAAACAAGCAACCTAAATTTGCCAGATAACTACTCAGATTCTAGTAGTGATTGTGAACTTGGCATCCGAAGTTTCAAAATAGAAAATTTTAAATACAAGTCCTCTAATTTTGAGAAACCTGATCCTAAGGAAAACAAAAGATTGTTCAACAACACTCTAATCAACAACAAAATCTCAAGATATGTAAGCAACACTCTGCTTTCCCAAGTTCCAAAAAGATCAGATTGTGAAAAGAAGCCAGCTGAATCTGGTAACACTACGGTAAAGGACGGGTCCCTGAAGAAGAAAGTTTCTTCGAAGACATTTACGGTTACTGAAAACGTTTTTGGAGCCCCAAACGTCTTTACAGATGAAAATGATGTTTACTCGAATGGCAGTATGAATAGTCGAGTTGGCTTAGAACTATCACACAATGCTGGTTTTGCTGTTGAATTTTCTGAAGATAACTATCCAAAGGAGGACAGACATGAGTGTGAATGTGCCAAGAGCAATTGTTGTCTTTACGTTGTGGAGGATGATGAAGTTGATCTTTCCTTGGTGGAATCCTCACGGCCACTCTGCTCAGAAGCAGGAACCCAAGGTGAATGGCTTAATCCATCAAATTTTTTGCTGTAAGTGAAAATCTCTTAGGTTATTTTTTCAGATTTATACATGCACTTGTAAAAATATATATTTTGGTGGTGTATGAGACGTAATATAGTTTCAGCAAAACGGAAATACAGATCTCAGTTGACATGTAGGCTATTTCCGAAAATATACCATCATAAGAGATTCTCGAGAAATTCAAATTAAGCGTTAGCGATGAGATATTATTTAATGATATATATTCTTTCCCTTGATCGAGAGTGGCGAAAAAATGGCATAGCATGATCCATAGAATGGTCCATTGAATTGTTGTATTGCCAATTTGAATATATTTAGCTTAGGTGTTTTGCTCAGTTTGATCGTATAATAACGAGTTTATTTTCTTTTAAGTTGTAAAGAACGAAGCAATTTTTGAGGGACTCTTAACACCCCAAGAGCTAGACTCAGTAGAGACAAACTCGGAAAGTGACTGGCTGTACAAAGTTGACACACCAAACATATTGTGAGTACAATAATAAAAGGTAACAATATTTTACCATCCATATCCTCCGTAACAAACAGTAAAATCTTTAGGGGCTAACATTTTCGGGCATAACTGCAAAACCTCACCAAAGAACCGTATAACGAGCTTCTAAAACTATCCAAAGCATAAGATTAAGGCATTTTCTTTTTGTAAATGCAACAAAGTAATAACAACGTTTTTAAGTACTAACAACTATAATAAAACTCATTTAAAGTCACGTGATAAATACGCCCCTCCCTCAACTGCAGACTCTCGTGACCCCGTTCTGTAGTGAGTAATTTGTAGTGAAGAAATCTTATAAAATAATCATAACAATGTGGTATATCATACTCAATTTAAAAATACTATAAAAAATAATTGAAAATAATTTGTTTTAGACAATCCACAATGGCGGGTGACTCAGAAGAAGAAGTGATTTTTACCAGAGAACATCAAGCAGATGAAATGTACAGTGAAAGTTCTAGTGAAGATTTTGCAAACCGATTCTACATTCAACAGTGGTTGATGGAATCTGAACAATACTACAACAATCGAGAGTTGAACCAAATTGATTGTGGAGACTCGATTTAAATAAATTGAAAATATACTCAAGAAAACTTTAAAACATGTCAATCCCTTTTTAAACTTAAATTAATTATATATAGCCGCAAAACAATCGAGTTAAAATGAGGTGTAACTGAATGGAAGGTAAATTTTAAAATTTGAGACGGTCCAGAAAATAATACATTTTGGGCCATTAAACTGACTAGCAAAACTGTTTAATTATTTTAATTTCATAACTCGGAAAAAACGTAAATGTATTGTAACTTCAACCTTGATAATATTGTAAAATACCCAGCTATACTGAAATAACACTTAATTTTAGTATGATAATTGTAAAATACTGGCAAAATAACAATAAAATAAAGGATAAGAAAATTTGTAACTCAATGAATTGTAAAAAATCTTATTGCGGTCTGGTGCATTTTTTAAACAAAATAAGCCATTTTACTTGGTTTTTAATCAGTAAACTTGATTATTTTATTTTATCTTATTTGTTTTACTTACAAGTAACTGTCTTACCAGCAACAATGCCCTACAATAAGTTTTAATAATTTTTATATTGCTAAAACATAATTAATTGTATTTAAAAAGTAAATAAAACAAACTCGATCTTTTGTAGCCATTACACAAGTGTTTCCATTTTTTCATTTCTCGCATATTTTCTTAAATTTAAACATTTGCATTTCTCAAATTACCCTTCAAACTATTTCTCATTATCCTTTCTCATTTTACTCGCGTACATCTCGATTATTAACTTTATTTTCTTTAAATACAATTGTATCCACATACAAAATATTTATCCTTCCTCTGCAGCATCCAGTATATTCCTATCCTTAGTGAGATTGTTTTCAATCCAAGAATAGTTGGAATTACCAAATAATAGTTGTATTAATTATAATTTGTTTTGATAAAATGATGGTAATATTAAATAAAATTAAAAATAATAATATTTATTCTTATAAATTATATAAATTCAAGTAGTCACTTTCAGCTCATTGGATTTGTTTTAACATCTGTGTGTATTGAATTTAGAAGCCACATATCTAAAAAGGGGGATCCAATCAATGAGAAAAAACGGTTGATCGCTTTAAAAACCATCAATGCGTTAAAAGTTTTGTTTATCTGGAAACGTCCTCTCATTCTGGGAATGAGCGGACGATATTCGTCCGTGTGTTTTATCGAAAATAAACTCGCGGAAGCGAACCGTGGTTGGGTTTTCATGTGAACGACTTTTACAGAACTTTTTCGTAGAACTATTTACATAAACTCGTTTGCATAAAATGTTTTTCGACCCCTAAAGCTCCCTAATTAGTGGTATTTTAGTTATGTGCATGTCCAAAACGATTCTTTTTGTTTCACCAAGATTAAATAAACATGTTGTTGACCCCTTTTGACTTGGTAATTTACGCCTTTACGCATTTAAGTTTAGATTAAAATTGATTTCTAAAGCCATAAGTTAAAAGTCAGAATTATTATAAAAATCATTTTAATACCACTAGATAAGAAAGTAATTCTAAGTACAGGGCATTGATACGGTATTTACTCAGGGGAGGTATAGAAGAGGCTACGATGACAGCTGTGGGCTTCTTATTAGCTGAGGGAACGCCATTACCGTAACAAAACGGTTCGCAGCCATCGGCCTTGGTGGTCTAATGGTTAGCGTGCCGGGCTGATATACTGAAGGTCCGGGGTCAAATCCCGCTGTTGGCAGTAACTTTTTGTCCAAGATTTTTTTATTATCAGCAAGTTTGGTTGGTTTGGTTCGGTTATGACATTTTAATTTTATTATTAAGTCATTATAAAATTTTAATTGAGCAATTTCTAGTTTTATTTAATAAACAGAATTATTTTTTCTATTACTAAACTTTTGTTATATTATTTCATTATCAGCAAGTTTGGTTAGTTCGGTTAGGTTATGATAGTTTAATTTTATAATTAAAAAATAATAAAATTGAATTTGAGGCATTTATAATTTTATTTTATGAACAGAACTATTTTTGCGATTAGTAAACCTTCATTGCCAAAGTACTCTCTACTACAGCGCTGTTCACGGAGGAATTTTGAACTAAAGGCCTCATTCGTACCTCCCCTAAGTCAGACCCCATTGATACACTTGGCTTAATAAAAATTATAGCTAGGAAATAAACTTAATTGTATTTTATTACTCTAAAGAAACATTTGAAAAAAAATGTTTGCTCCGAAACACTTGTAATATAATAGCGAATGGTATATGTAAAAACTAACATACAAATTCAACGTCATGCTGTGAAGGGATTGTTGGAAATTGATTAGATGAACATACTTAACTTATTTACTGTTTTCAGAATATCCAGGATATTTGAATAAATATAAAGTGAGCTTATCTTTCCCAGAGCTTAAGATATCTCTGATTTTGACATCTTTGAAATTAAACGTCGCTCACACTCAAATTACGGGCTTTATTTTCAACAATAAGCGGCTCTTCTGTTCATAATACGCCGAACAATACCCGTTGGACGTTAAAAAATACCAGAGCAGTTAGATTATTGCTACGACTGCTCTGTTACAGATTAGATTAACCCATATGTCTGAAAACAGAATAGTTATACTAGACTATACACGTAATATTTTTATATTGATATATACTTTCTAAAGGGAAAATATTTTATCGAAAATAAATACCTAACACGATATTTTATTTTGTTCATTAACCATGTGTATCTTGTTAAAATAAATCAAACGCTTTTTGCGTTTATGTACACGGTTTATCAGCTTTCCAAGGAAATACTTCTACAGAGGAAAAAAGTTTCAAAGACTTTTTATAAGGATTCAGAAAAACACTTTATGGAAAAAAATCTCAGGAAAGTGAAAAAAAAAATATTTTTACAGAAAAAATCTCAAGGAAGTACTTCTTTTAGGGAAATACGTTCCTAGAAAAACATAAAAAATAGATTCCCAAAACATTCTTTTCCAGGAATATAAATACTCCATAGAATAAATACTTGTCTTAGAAAATACTTTTACGGAACTACATTTCATGAGAAGAGTATTTAACTGTATTTAACTGTACAGTGAAATACTTCTCCAGGGAATAAAGGTGGATAATAAACGGTATTGTACTGTTTTTTTTTTCACGAAATCAAACAATAAATTTACATCTAACATGATATTAATTACAATTTCTAGGCATCATACAACAGGTGTTATATTTCTAGGTAGTTAAGAGGATGATCGGGGCTTTCTGAAACTAGGACAGTGGGTGATTGTGGGTCGGGTCCTTCGCAGCTTGCACAGGGATGTAGGGTATATTATAGGAAACAAGCTTATGGGACTACCGTGCTCTTTCAGCTCTAGTATATTGTTGCCGGAAATATACTTTTGGCGGGCACTGTACGGAAATTCCTATCGCACAGGGAACAGAGTCTTCCACCACCGTGAGCGTTGTAGTACATGATGGCGAGGGGGTGGTGTACCATGGTGTGTATTGTTGCGGGCTTAGCAGGTTCTTTACAAATAAAACTTGGCGATTTTATAATAACTATTTATTTACACTAATTATTCTATATTTACAGATATTACAATTACCTAACACCTAACTAACCCTATCTAACCTAGCTAAAGCTTATTCTAATTTACAATGATTCTACTTACAGCTAACCTTTTACAGGATTTATCACTACTTCTGTTACAGCACTGTCACTACACTGTCACTAGTGTCACTACACTGTATCTACACTGTTACTGCCACTAGCACTAGCACTGGTCACTAACACCGACGGGCGCTTGCCGCGACGATTCTCGGAAGGCTCAACTCAACTCAACTCCGTGTGCCGGAAGACGGTCCCTTATATAAGCTTGCCGTGGAACATTCTAGAGACCCCTGGTAGCCTAGACAAAGGTGTTTACGCCGTAGAAGTGTAGAAGGTTCTAGGGCCCCTATTGAGGTAGTCCGTTGACATGGGTCTATTGTCTATCCGTGGTGCGCTAGGAGAAACCCGTGTAAACAAACAACCCTTTTGAGACGGCGCCTGGCTATTGTTGCGCGGGGCTCCTGACTTGTAACACTACCCCCTCCTTAAGACTGTTCTGTCCCAGAACAGATTTTCCCTGAAGCTTGCGATCTTCTGGTCCACCGGAGGTTCCCCATGGGTTGTATACGCAGACCACAATTTCGATGCCAGTGTCCTTAAAAAGTTCCTGCACCATATTTCTCACAATCCTCCATTCCAGTCCGTCATAACCACATCCCAGCCTGGGAATAGCAAGCTTTTTTATTCCAATCCGAAGGAGCTTGTCTCGCAGGTCTTGCAGGCTTTTCTTCAACGATTCGTAGGACGGCTTCTGGCTTGACGTCTCCTTGGTTACGAGGTAGAACAGATGCCGTCCATTGCGCTTCAGGTGAAGGGTGGTGCCAATGGCGGGTCTCTGACGCTCGAGATCTTCAGTCCCTCCAAACTTTTTCCTGAAGACTGTGGCTATACCTCGCGACGCTCTCAGGTCTTCTGCTACGCAGTGTGCCAAGGCATATTCCACTGGCAAGGTGAAGAGGTCCTTGTATAACAGCCTCGGTCCTTCATTTCCACGTCTCTCAGGCACGATGTCTCTTGGCTCGGTTGAGAGGTTCCGAACTTGTTGTTCCTCTTGCTTGCCGTGATCTCCGTTGTAGGGTGCAAGCCTGTTGAAATGGATTAATATGGGTTTGCCGTCTGGTTGCCTCTTAATCCGGTAGATGACGTCATTTAGACGGGAAATAACTTCATAAGGTCCTTCCCACGAGTTCTGGAGATTTGGCGAATATCCACGACGCCTTCGGGGATTGTGTAGCCACACGAGGTCTCCAGGTGTGAACCCTCCTTTCTCGGCCTTCACGTCGTACCTCTCCCTCATCCTGTCACTTGCTCCAGATATGTTGCGACGGACTTTCTCGTCCATCATCTTCCCGTTCTTTGACAAGGGAGCCACATCCTGCACCGATGATCTTCCTTTATTGTCCATCTTCCACTGCATAATGTGCCTTAGGTCTGGGTCCCCCTTCCGGTCCTCTGAAAGCTTCTCGTC